GGGTTCCAGTGACAGTGACACATTTGGGACACAAACTCGGCTTTGAAACCTGAGGGAATTCCTCCAGCCTTTCCACCCAGCTCTGCTCTGCTGAATTCCAGCCTCAAATTCCTGATCCATATGAAATTCCCAATCCATATCAAACTCCCTCTGACTCAGGGTTCCAGGGACACCACTGGACACAAAACTCAACATTTAAACCCCCAGTGAGTTTCTCCAGATCTTCCACCCAGCTCTGCTCTGTCAACTTCAATCCTCAATTCCTTGATCCATATCAATTCTACATCACATCCATATCAAATTCCCAGTCAAAATCACATTCCTGATCTATATCAAATTCCCAATTCACATCAAATTCCCTCTGGCTCGGGGTTCCAGGGACAGTGACACATTTGGGACACAAACTCGGCTTTGAAATCCCCATTGAGTTTCTCCAACTCTTCCACCCAGCTCTGCTCTGCTGAATTCCAGCCTCAAATTCCTGATCCATACAAAATTCCTCATCCTTATCAAATTCCCAATCCACACCAAATTCCCCATCCACTTCCAATTCCTGATCCTTATTAAATTCTTGATCCATAACTAATTCCTCATCCTTATCAAATTCCCAATCCATACCAAATTCCTCACCCTTATCAAATTCCCAATCCACTTCCAATTCCTGATCCATAGTGAATTCTTGATCCATATCTAATTCCTGATCCTTATCAAATTCCCAATCCACCCCAAATTCCTCATCCTTATCAAATTCCCAATCCATACCAAAATCCTCACCCTTATCAAATTCCCAGTCCATACCAAATTCCTCAACCTTATCAAATTCCTGATCCTTATCAAATTCCTGATCCATATCTAATTCCTCATCCTTATCAAATTCCCAATCCACCCCAAACTCCTCATCCTTATCAAATTCCCAATCCATACCAAATTCCTGATCCTTATCAAATTCCCAGTCCATACCAAATTCCTCACCCTTATCAAATTCCCAGTCCATACCAAATTCCTCATCCTTATTAAATTCTTGATCCTTGCCAAATTCCCAGACCACTTCAAATTCCCTACATACCAAATTCCTTAACCTTATCAAATTCCCAATCCATACCAAATTCCTCATCCTTATCAAATTCCCAATCCACTTCCAATTCCTGATCCATACTGAATTCTTGATCCATATCTAATTCCTCATCCTTATCAAANAATTCCTCATCCTTATCAAATTCCCAATCCACTTCCAATTCCTGATCCATACTGAATTCTTGATCCATATCTAATTCCTCATCCTTATCAAATTCTCAATCCACCCCAAATTCCTCATCCTTATCAAATTCCTCATCCTTATCAAATTCCCCATCCACTTCCAATTCCTGATCCATATTGAATTCTTGATCCATATCTAATTCCTGATCCTTATCAAATTCCCAATCCATATCTAATTCCTCATCCTTATCAAATTCCCAATCCACCCCAAATTCCTCATCCTTATCAAATTCCCAATCCATACCAAATTCCTCACCCTTATCAAATTCCCAATCCATACCAAATTCCCAATCCTTATCAAATTCCAGATCCATATCTAATTCCTGATCCTTATCAAATTTCCTCCATACCAAATTCCTCATCCTTATCCAATTCCTTATCCATGCCAAATTCCTCATCCTCATCAAATTCCCAATCCACACCAAATTCCCCATCCACTTCCAATTCCTGATCCTTATTAAATTCTTGATCCATATCTAATTCCTGATCCTTATCAAATTCCCAATCCACTTCCAATTCCTGATCCATATCTAATTCCTGATCCTTATCAAATTCCCAATCCACCCCAAATTCCTCATCCTTATCAAATTCCCAATCCTTATGAAATTCACAATCCATACCAAATTCCTCATCCTTATCAAATACCCAGTTCACTTCAAATTCCCGATCCATACCAAATTCCTCATCCTTATCAAATTCCCGATCCATACCAAATTCCTCATCCTTATCAAATTCCCAATCCACTTCCAATTCCTGATCCATATTGAATTCCCAATCCTTATCAAACTCCTCTTCCTTATCAAATTCCCAACCCACCCCACATTCCCTTGGTTCTCACGGTGAATTTGCATCCCAGGGATTTCCAGAGCTCCTTGGTGACGACGGCTTCATCCAGGACCTGGCTGATGAAGGATTCCAACTTCCCAAATTCCCGCTCCACCGTGGCCACCACATCCCGCTCCGAGCCCTGGGAATGGACGGCAACATTCCCGGAAATTTGGGTCAATCCGGGCT